TAAAGAAAAAACAAAGGTATGCACGTGTGAGGAGAAAAATTATTTAAATTGAAGAAAAATTCTCCTGGGTAATGTTCTCTATTACCTATGTCAATCTCTTTAACTCAATTTTTTCCTACCAATATTTTAGTTTTTCTGCCACAAATAATTAAAAAACAGAGAATAGCTATGCTGAAACATTGCATTCCTAAAAGTGTTATCAAAAACTATACAAGTTATTAAACCTAGAGTATATTTAAAAGCCAAAAGAAAACAAAACCCAGCCACAAGCTAGTTATTTAAATAGGACCAACTGCATTAATGCATCCAGCAAGTACAGCAATTCAGACTGCATGGGAGCTGCAAACCTCTAACTGAATTCATTGCTAAAGAAGTGCAGAATGAACGTTATGTTTGTAACAACTGAAAACAACTGTAGGTTGGAACCTAGGACGTCAAATTCAAGTTTTGTTCAGCTCCTCTGTCACTTTCTAAAACAGTAGAATTCAGCTGTGTGTTTTGGTAGTAGAATTTTCACTGTGTGTTGTATACTCCAGGCTAAATTAAATATTTAATTTTTCCTATAATAGAAAGAAAAAAATAAGTCACTGTCTACAGTGTTACAAATCTGTTAGGATGATGATGCAGACTAGGGCCAGGTGCTGAGGTAGTTGCCCAACGTTACTACGAAACCACTCCCTAAAATAAAAAAGAGTGGGCTGCTCATCAGAAGAACTTCAAGCTGGAGGAGGAGGCAACAAAACATCCTGGGGTTTAACACAGACAACTGAAAAGCCCAGTAACTAGGACAGATCCACCACAGACACAAGAATAGGCTGAGGATAAGCTGGCTAGGGGCAGGAAGGGCAACTTTAGACTGAAAAGCATTTGGTTGTTCCAGCAGCCAAGGAGAGAACGACACATCAGCAGCACACACTTGTGGTATACGTGGCCAACAACAGCAAAGCCAGAGGGCCCAAAGTCATCTCTGAATCGAGCTTGGAAGCTGCCCCTATTTTAAGCAGGAGTAAGCTAGAGATCACCAGGGGTTCCTTCCCTCCTCATCTTTTCTGGGGGATTCTCTGATGGTTTTTCTAAATTACCAAGACATGCAGCTCAGTCTACTGCATATGAATCGGAATTATTTTTCAGCTCACTACGAGTGGGAAGAAAAAGATTTTGCCACAGTATTTCACTGCAGACCAGGATAACCTAAACGAAAATATTTTCATTTGGTCAACGTGACCTTCTCATTTGCTTCTCAGAAATGGGGCTTTTGGGACCAGAGGCCAAATTCTCACATAGATTACCCCTGACAGACTCCAGCAATGGTAAGGATAACAGGTCACCTCCAAGAAGTAAAGGCAATTCCATATACAGCAACAGATCTGCAAAAGCTGGGTTTAACAGTCCTTACTCCCAGCTTCTCTCTACCCCCTGCACCTCCCTCCAGCATAATGACATGGCCACCAGCAGTGCCACACAGGGAATCCAATGGGCAACTCAACTCATGAAAAAAATAACCTGAAAGAAGTTGTATTTTTCCTCAGGATGGCATACACTTGGACAACTTCTGAAAATCTGCATAATTATAGCAAAAAAACATTTCAAATCACAGAAATTCGGTCCTACTATGCCAACTCACATAGATTTCTGAGACTGCCACTGTGGGGGCTTCTGCAGTAAAAGATGAACAGCCATATACTTAGTTAGCCACTGGATTTTCTGGTACTTTTCCCAGGATCAATAGCATAAAAAACTTTAAAAATGTCCTAGAATAAAGGAGTACATATTTTTAGAGATAACTGAATTTAAACCATTTCCTGAGCTCACTGCAAATGCAATGCTCAGCTCTCCTACTTATTTAAGCCTGTATCCAAACAACTGCTTTTAAAACACATAGAAAATAGTGAAAAGGTCTACCTCATGTAAAGTCTAATGTGCACATAAGACAAAGATGACAAAACAGGAACATGAAGAACTATGAATGACAGGAAGCAGCATGTGCAAGAAAATCTCAAATGATGGAAGGTACCCAAGTAACTACCTGAGAAACTTTTTATCTAGTTGCAGAAAAATGGAAAAAAAAAAAATCTATCCTGAAAGACAAAAGAGTCTTGTACCTAGAGCAAAATAGTCTGTTATATACTTAACTATGAATCAAAAGGGTATATTTGCAGTAAGTCAAAGAGAAGTACTATCTTGTCCTTTCTGTTTGCAATTTGCATTAAGGGATCCTAGGGTTTGGACATGGAATTTTCCCTGCAAACAAGACCTTTACTGAATTTCCCCACTCTTCTGGCAAGATCCACATTACTATTTCAGAACTGCACGGGGGAAGAAGGGGAAGAAGAAAAAGAGGGGAATGATTTTTAAGGGTAACCACATCATAGGCATCAAATGTTTGAAAGTTACTGTGCAAAGTGACTGCATACATTGCCATGTGATCAGTCCAGCTGTGCAAAATGCTAGGTGATAGGTAAAAACACTGTCACTCACTCCTCAAATTTGTTTTCAACCTCAACTGTATTTAGTCCAGAGTATGCCTTGATTTATAATTATTTTTCTTTTAGGATTTTAGAGACAGATAGCCCTGCAAAGCAGTTATTGTTCATAAGGTATTTTATAAAACCAGCATGGGAAAGAGTCCCAACAGTAGTAGTGATATATTATGCTCATGGAAAAGTACGATCTTTTCCTCTTGATGACATTTGAAAAATCCACATATCATTTTGCAACAAACATATCTGAAAGCAATACTGTCAGAGCAGGAGTGGGGAGTGGGGGAAGTAGAAAGACAGAATGTCTGATTAGTGTGTCCTGGTCCACAACAGAACAATGAACCAACTGGTACTTATTTCTTCTACAGATTAGGTCTTACTGGAAGAATCTCACAAATAGGAGATGCATTTACCACCAACTCAGAATTCTCCTCTTTGATTCACAATGAACACAGGAGGTGTGACAAAAGCAGTGAAACACAAAGTGCAGTAGAATTACTTTAAACATCCTGTGATGATTGTGACAACAACAGTACTTTATAAGTTTTGTCATGGTTGTAATTTTTAAGAGTATTCTGAACAGCATGAGGTAAAAGGAGGGTGGGAAATGACAGTCCAGCTAGGAGAGACGTTCTCATTCAGCTCTTAGACCCCCAGATACCAGGTTACCAAAATATGCAACAACACAAAGTGACCTTAAACAAATTTTAAAAGGTGTTAAACTGGAAAGAGGAAACCAGAAGCAAACCAAACTGAAAAACCAAAACCACACTTCCAGAACCAGAGGAACTGCACAGGATGGAGGTGTTCCCACCAGGCAGAGAAATCTAAGCCACTGATCTCAAAACGGTTTGTGAAACATTCTTATAGTGAAGCAACACAGACATTTCCTTTTAAGAAAGGGGCAGACAGTCTAAGCTTTCAGTAACTATGTTTTTGGCAGATTCAAATTACACCAAGCCAACTGATGTCAAAACAAACAAACAAAAAAATGCAAGGATAAAAACCACCACATAAAAAAGACATTCCTAAACACCCCAGTTTTCCATCTTCCTCTCAGTGCACTTGTATTAAACATTCACGTATCTCAGGAAGTTAGCAGAATAATGCTCTTCATCTAACTCAAAATGTTTCTTTCTTTTTTTCAACAGAACATGAAGGCATCCAAGACTTAAATGCATTACACATCTAACTACACAAAGAACAGAGAAGTAAGAAAACTCACTTCCTAGAGTAATTGCTACACTGCAATGTCAACAACCAAATATTTTAGCAGTGCAGTAGGAGGAAATTCAGAAAATGTATCAGACTATAATCAATGCCAAATGCCATTGAAAACAGCTATGATCCCACTTTCTGTTATTTCTATTAAATGTACATTCATTCTTGTAACATAATTACCATCTGGAGAATTCAGAGACTTAACACTTATATAACTTTAGTCTTTTATGAGACCATTTAAAGGAACTACCAGACAAAAATACAAAGAATATGTTTCTTCTATTTTCAATCACTTTCCAAAAAATTAACAAGTTATGTATAGTATGGCAGTTAAAGAAACTAGAATGAATGTAAAATACTGAGTCCCTTCTATAAAAGTGATTCAACTAAACACGAATACATAGAAAAACAAATACTGTGAATGCTGCACATACTAAGTTAAGAATTTCTTTCTACATTATACACATATAGACTAATTCTTATATTGAATGACTTTTAAACAGATGAAAACACCAGTACAACAACAGGACAAAACATGAGTTTTGAAAGAGGAAAATAAGGACAAAACTAACACTGACAAAGAAAGGCATAAGATGAAAAATACCAGGTTAGATCTTGCAGTGTAGTATACTTCTTCTGAATTGTCCAAAAAATCGCTACTGTCAGGCTGTTCATTAGATAGAGAGCAAGAAACTCAAATTATTTATATTGTGACTGAAAGCCAGGTATACATAAATGTAAATTTTCTTGCTAAAAAAAAAAAAAAGAGATATTGTTAGTCGAAATTCAAACCATGCTAAGACAGTTCTTGGGATGGGGGTAAAACATAGCTAAGGATATGGTCACATTACCAAACACTACTGAATCACACCAAAATGATGAATTATTTATTGTTCAGCACCTGAGCTGTGGTAATGTGTGACAAACTGTCCCAGTAAGAGGCAAGTATGGCCAGTTCAGCATCTCAGTGCACCACTGAAAATAACTCCTCATGCTGCAGTGGTCCAGTCCTTTGTGCACTCATACCCACAAGTAACTGAGTGTTTAAGTGAGACAGAAGCTTTAGTGAGACAGAAGCAAAAGCATCAGAACTGCTTTAATGAAAATGGATCCACACTGTTATTGCTGGAGGAAGAGGCATCTCTTGCTCCCACTTCCAATACAAAGACTTTCGCTCCCAGAGTGTGTAGATTGTTACAAACTTCTCCCACAGACTGGTTCATGCTGAGGCTCTTTGCTAAAGCATCCATTTTTTGAACAGGTCTCTCATTTGCAATTGATATGCCAATTTAAACTGTCCACTGGTTCTATAGCTAATCCATACCTGCATGCTTATTCTTTGGTCTCTGGACCCAAAATCATTATTTTTAAAATGATAGTTCTGTTTTATCTGGAAAGAGCATATCAGGTCTGCATGCTTCACATTCTGATATAAGCCATGGAAGAGTTAATTTTCCTCTTCAGAAAGATCCAAACAGTTATAGACAGGGAGATGAGACAAGTTCTTTGGACAGGTTTCAAGTATGCAATGTCTGACCAGAATAGACAATATTAAGATACTTTCTTATCAAGGGAATTAATTGGGACTGTTCATGTCCCTCCTCTGAGAAGCAAGAGCTTCTGAGATTCCAAAGTGCAAAGGTCCCGATTGTTAACATACAACGTAGGAAAAGGCTCAATTCCTCCCTTTCAACAACAGCCAAAAAAGTGCTCTGAAGAACTGCTTTAATCCCTGCAGAAAATCTCTCTCCACTGTTTAGCAACTCAGGTTCCTAAGGTGCAATAAAAGCACCACTGCCCCATGGAGCTGTCCACCTTCTACTGCTTTGTAGTCAGTGACCGATAAAAAGAATGAAATGGGAGAAGTATTTTCAAAACTTTAGCTGCTCCACTAACACATTTTTGCAATTATGATTCTATGTGTGTATAGGTGTGCTGTTAACAAGCAAAAGCTTGTTAATTTGAACTATATATTGCTACCAATTGTATTTTTTTTTACAATCCAGACCATGCAACAGGGAAGCAAAGACAGGATAACTTGTAATCAGTTCAAAAATAATTTTGAGTTAACTAGTAAGTTTATGGTAGAAACACTGCATTATATTTAATAAAATATAATAAAAATATATAAAAAATAATAAAAAGCCTTACATAACCAGGGCTCCTAAATGATGCTGTTATGCAGTAATGTTAAGGTCTAAGTAACACATCTGAAATACTTGTTTAAATCCTCTGTGTGATTTGGTAAGATATTCTCCTCCGTCTCAAACAGGCACCAGAAACTTCAGGCTCCCTGTCCAGTCAGTTCTGAGGACGAGCAAGATTATACACAACCTCAGACACCCAGAGCCAGTTGACCCACTACCAAAGGGCAAAGCACTGGGGAAGAGATTTTAGTACAACTACAGAGCACCACAAGGAAATCTGTGTCAGAAATCCAACTCACATGTGGTTTGTAGACTACAGAAGTACATTCCTAGGTACATACCATTCCCAAAATCAACTCAGGGAAAACCAGTGTCCCTCCCACCTATGTACTAAGGCAACTTTTTCACCTTAACACCTGCCTTAGAAAAACAAAGAGAACACAAAAGTCTGCAGTGAGGAAGCAGGTTTTTTATCTTTTTATCCAGGAACGTGAAGAAGCTGCCCAAAGTGCACAAACGTGGAAAGCAACAGTCTCCACAGAAGAATCTTCTGTAATCGTGCGTGTGAGACAGCACAGACACAGTTTCCCTCACAGCCTGAGATCTCATACCCCTTGCATCGATGGGTCCATATGAAGACATTGGCAATCCACCTTTACAGAATACCTCCACTGCCAGGCTCAGCATGGCTCAGGTGTGATGCAGGGCCACAAAAGGATTGTTCACACGGGAAATTCTTTTAAAATGCACCATATCTCTGCCTCAATTCTACTCCATTCTACTATTTTCACAGTCAATACAAGAACAACAGAGAGCAAAAGTTGAGTACGCACAGTAATTCTAAAATTAAAATAAAAAATCCATAAATAAATGGAATTACATCCTCAGCAATGAGGCATAAAGGATAGAGGAAACCTACAAGACAAAATGCTGCTGCTTAGCACATCCATCACATCCAGCAGAGCCCACAAACAAGGAGTTTTGCAGCATATAGTGTAATAGCATCAAAGAAACATTATGTTACAATCTGTCAGTAAAATCACTAACAAGTTAGTAGTGCTAAGGAAGCACGTTACACATCTCCTGCACAGATATTTGCAGGGGATAATGTGCAGAGCATAGCATGTGCTGCTTGTTACTCACAAATTCATGATGTGGCTCTGTCTCTTTCCTCAAAGGTGGATCAAACTTTACTTGACCGACTAAAGAGGAAAACAGGAAAACAAGAATTTAGGTTCAACTCCCAGGTTTAGCTCCCAAGGCTACCAAAAAAAGAAAAATTGTTTAATGAGTGTATCATATCTCCACTGATGGAAACTCCTGACACGTGGACATATCCAATTTGTGCCTGCTAGAAACTAATGGGCGCAGAAAGTACTCTTTTATCACAAAGGTAGCACAATCACCATCTGCGTCACCTACTCACTATGACGAACAGGAAAACCATTCAGCAAAGAGGGCAGCAAGGATCTTCCTTAGAGGCGCCATACAGCTGTAATTTATAGAAAAAGCATATCCATGGTGTGAATTCACTACTGAATCTGTTCTGCTGGGAGACTCACTAGCACTAAGGAGTATTGAATGAAGTTTGGAGCAAACTAATCACATTTCCTAGGACACCAGTTTGGCAGAATCTCTTTAACACTTCTCCCCTGAACTTCAGCTTAAGAAAAGACAGCTAAAGCTCCACGTATTGCACTGATTTAATTCAAACAAAGAATTACTGCAATCTGGGGGATGAAGTCTGTTTTTAAAAGCCAGTGATCAACCTCCTCCCCTCCTGATTTCTATGTAACTGTTTCAATTCAAAAGCGAAAGTAAGATAATTAAGGAAAGAAAAATATTCCTTTGCCATTCTGTTACCCAGCTGAATCTGGCACTGCCATGAATATCCTTGCTGGAGTGGCATACAAAGCTATATCAGCTCTCAGAAGAGCTCAGGTTGTGTCCTGTTCAATTAAGATGAAGCAACAGTGAGCCTCGCAGAAGTGCTGACAAAGGGTGTAGCCAAATATTTTACACTATTTCTTTTGCATAGTCATCTAGAATCTATACACTTCAGTGAAACAGCATGCTTTTATTTTCCCATACATCATTAAAAAAGTTTCTGTGTGTATCAAATACCCAAAATACCAGTTGAAATAGCATCAATGATTACTTTAAGAGTACTTCATATTGTCATATCACACGTGCTTACAGTTTATTTCAGAGCGTGTCTTTTCTTCTCTTCCATTTCTACTGGTTGAATGAATTCTGTGAGGCACTAGAAGAGGCTAGAAGTGAAAAACAAAATATTTCAGTTCCAAAATATGCTCACTTGAAAGCCAGTATTGTGTGACAGTTTTTAGCAGGCTTCTGTAGCCTAATATCAAAAAAGGAAAGAAAGAAAGTAAAAGCTAAATATAAAGACTGCATGCAATTTTTTATACTTAAGGTTAGAATCATTTAGAGACATTTCAACTGCTGAATGTCTTCAAGATAAGGGTTTTTAGAACATCACATCTGAGCAAATATAATGCTGGCCAGCATTTGTCTCTGTTCATTTAGTATTTCCTTTTTTCATCTTTCAGCGTAAGGCAGTGGTAGTTTTTAAAAGAAGCAGCAAGACTAAATCTCATTCCATTAGATACTCCAATCATTATCCCAAACTAAACTGATTCCTAAAAAGTCATCAATTGTTGTTTAAGTAATGAGAAATTTGCCTGAGATTTTCAAAGCTGAGTAGAAAGGTATTCCTGGTACTCTCGTGCTGTGTGGCAAGAGAGATAGCGTAATTTCTACGTACTCACCTTCATATTTATATTCCGTTTCTATTTTTTCCCTGAATTTTCATTTACTTCTCTACAGGATGAAATATTCTGAACTTTTAAGACTTGACCTTTTTTTTTCCCCCTTGGATTTTCTCTCTGCTTTCTACAAGCACTACTGCAGGTTCTCTTAGAAACTACAATTTAAGTTCTTAACAAGAGTACAAGATCAGCGGACAACCATATTGTCCTAGTTTTTGGCCAGGACCCAGGGGTTATTCTACACCACCTCTTGTCATTCCCAGGGGTAGAGGGAAAGAGCTCTCTGGCTTCTGAGAAGAAGGGCGTGGCTTCCAGTCAAAAAACGTCAGCACTGTCTGCTATTGTTCATTGTTTGGGGGTCCACAGAGAACGTTCTTGTATGTGAATCACCCTCTCTTTCTACGCTTCTGTTATTAATATTGTTGCTGGTACTGTTCGTTTTCTTATCTCATTGCTGTTTCCAGTAAATTTTTCTTATCTCAACTCATAATCTTCAACTTTTGTGCCTCTAATTCTCAACTCCATCCCATGGGAGCAGGAAGGGACAGCAAGCAAGTGGCACGTGGTTTGGGAGCGTGTCAGTGGGGGGCAGTGAATTGGGAAGCACCATTCCTAAACCACAACATGCATACAAATCAGGTCCAAAATTAGCAACACAAATCCTAACATTATGCTTTCATACGTCCTTTGTAATGAAATCTTACTTTTTAGAAAACAGTTATTTTCCCATGATGTTAGCCCAAGTAATCTCTGAAAAGCACATTTTCGCTCTGTTTCTGTGTTGAATATGTGGCAGCAAAACACTTTTTTAATTAAAGCAGTCTGATGCTATGATGTTCTAGTATGTTAGCTTTGCTTTTATATACAATAAGTATATTCTTCACAGGGCAACTTTTGACTACAAGGTGCTGACAGTTACAAAACTTCAACTGCTGTACTATCACAGGGAGTCACAAATAGCTCAGCAACTCTGTTTACCCCTGAAATACTATCAGAAAACTTAATCCATTTTCATCACACACTTCTCCTTTACTTCCCATTAGGATCCAACACACATGTACGTGGTGTTTCCCCTCCCATTCATGTTCACTACGCTCTTCTTTGAAACAAGGAAAGACTTGCAGATTGTGGGTATGTATTTTCTCCCACATCTCATCAGCAGTTTTTTGCTTCTCACAACTTATGTCAATCCTCTCCTTCCAAAGTTCCACTTCGTTTATTGTGCATTGTTTGGGGCTTAAAAAATGGTTTGCTATAGGTCAGAGTGCTGACAGGTTGCTTATTTATAATCCTTTATTAAGAGGCACCACTCAGTTGTGTATGATGTGTGTGCATCTGTAATGCCAGCAGAAGCTGTAGGGGAGCTGGGAGGTATTTTTGCCTTTGCAGTGATATTTTGAGCCTTGCATCCTGACACAGGTGTCTGTGTTGCACAACAGACACAGCCTGCCCTCATACCACCTTCTCCAGATCAGAGAATTACGTGAAGGAGTCAAATCTTCATCTCTCAGTCACGAGGACTAAGTCCTCAAGTCACCTTGAAATACATACACTGACAACAAGCTGATACAAACACCTGACATCTGAGCTGTGCAAGAGGACAAAGGAATGCAGGTTAACTTCCTGACACAAATGCCTTTTGTACCACAGCCATTGTGGTACAGATCTCAAAAGCAATCTTATCCCCAAAACTTAGACTGTACTAAGCATAAGGCATGAGTGAGCACTTTCCTCTTTGCAATCTTTTTGGCTAATATCACATCCATCATGAGAATCACTGTCACAGAAATGTCACGAACAGGCAGTTGTCAACATCTCCAAAGGTGAACAATGATTTAAAGACATAGTATGGCACTCCTCAGAAGGGGCAAATTCACATCTTCATTTCTACTTCACCAACACAACTCTGCAGACTACCCAAGCAGCAACAGATCGTATCCCCATAAAAGCAGCACAGGTCAAGTGAAGAGCTCTCAGTACAGGGGTCGGCAGACTTGACTTCAAAGACCACCATCAGACAGAAGAGCTCTCAAATCTCAAAAAGTGAAAAACAATCCACCAAAAAAAAAAAAAAAAAAAAAGAAGACACCAACACCACCACCCCAAAAAAATGCAAAACTCTAAAACTGGGGAGTAGGTCTGAGGCTTCAAGATTCTCACCAGTGTTTTCATACTGTGTTATGTTTCACCTTGTTTTGTCACTTTGTTTTATTTTTGATGGATGCATTCAGGGGATCGCCACAAATACAGGACTGGTCAATCCCTAAATTCATATGAACATCTCCAGCTGCCTCTGTGAGCAGGCAAGTTTTGGAGCAAGTTCAATTTTGTATAAAAGGAGAACATACACTTCTTATTTCATTCATTTTATTACAGGAAAGACCACAGTGCCAACAACTGCTTTGCCTGTGGCAAGGTTCTTTTTCTGAAACACAAAACTTGCTCAAGAGGCATTAGATAATTCATTACCACCTACTTTATTCACAGAGGTGGGTCCCAGACTTACTTAATGCAAAATAAAATGTTTTTCCAAGTGTCATATCAATCTCACTTTGCAAGTGCCTTAAATGCCTTCGTGGAAAATTATCCAGCAACAAGGCAGGTGAGAAACGTCTCTTACATCTAAGTAGTCCATTCAATGAAAATGGTCCAACAGCACAGGTAACAATGCCTGAAGCTCACAGGAGGGCTCAAGGCCATGTGATGAACAGTGATGGAGCAGTATCAGTATGCATAGCACAACAGCCCACAAATGCAGCAGGAAACCATCAGCAGTGTAAGACAAACAACAAATGAACTTGTATCTGAAGAATGCATCGCCAAAGACACACCAGCAGTTCGCCCGCCCTCCATACTGTCAGCCAGTCCAGCTTCTTTTAAGTGATAAAATTAGGTGTTTTCTCTGATCACTGCTAGGAGGTTGTTTTCTCTTTGTTTTCTCCCCAGACAAGGAATAGATTTTGCTCCTGATACCACACTCCATTATGGGATAATGGATAAGTAATATACTAGACAACAGAAGAACCTTCTTAAAGCTAAGTCACAAGGCACACAAAAGTGTGAACACTCTTTGTAAGCTACAAGTAACTATCAATAAAATGTGCACTGAAGGGACTCATTACAGGAAGAGTAATGCTACTATGTGCATTTCCTTTTAAAAGTATTAACCATTATTCAACCATCATGCTTTCCTCTCCTCCCCTCTCATTTAGAAAATATGCATTGCACTCAACAACACAAAAAATTATCTATTTCACTCTGACTTCTTTCCACATTTTTTTATTTCAGCTTCTAAGATAGACTTGGTGCATGTCAACTTGTCTTTGCTGTTCCAGAAAGTAAAAGTTATTTAACTTGTAAAATTTGAAAATTAATCTATTAAAGCAGTTGCTTCTTTTAAGCTTCTTTTCCTTTGAAGGCATTTTTAGACTAGTTTACCCATTAAAAAACCAGAAGTATGTAATTATTGAATCAGTGGCATTTGTGTTGAAAGGATTACATTTTTTCTTCCAAAAAAAGGCCATCAGTTAGGGAACAGTAAACATTTGGAAAGTATTCACTAACATGCAGTGAAGTACAAGACAAGATGAAGTAACAGAATATCTGATTTCTCTTATTTAATAAACACTTCAGTCCTGCACTGTTTATCATCTTACATAAGCAGGCTACTTTTTCCCAGCTGTTAAAGCAGAAAATCAGAAACTTTGCCTTTGACAAAACCACAAGTGAAATCAAATCTCAGAGCATTCTAAGATCAAAAAATACCATCTGCAAAAAACACACATCAAACCATTTGACAAAAACAACTACAGGATCATACTCTCCCCTACACAACCATAAAATTATTTTTATGAAAATGTTTTCTTTGCAGATGAATGGAAAGATAACTTCACAAAGAAAGAGTAGAACACATGACAAAGCTCAGGACTGGAGAAGCAGACCACATTTACTGTTGCAGAATTGTTGAAGAGCAATAAGCAAAACTTTAAAGTAGTTACACCTCTTCAAGCTTCTCTTCCCCAAGTATAATAATGACTTGTGGTAAGTGCCTGTACATGTGACACAGCAGCACAACCAAAAGCGACCTTTGAGACTATCCCCAGATAACAATACATTCCGGGGCTCAATAAATCATCATAATTTAGTTTTGCTGGCAAACAAAAACTTAATCTAGTTGTATGATTAAAACATATTCCTACCTCAGGATCATCATCGTCAAAATCATGGTAAGTGGAATGATCTGGATTATTCATTTTATCCAAAAGTTCAATGGCAAGACTTCGATTTAATGGCTGGGTAACAAAGGGATGCTGAAAGACAGAAAGAATCATACAGATTAAAATTCCAGCCACTCATATTAAGCATATTTTAATTTTATAACTTTTAAAAAAATATCCCATACATAAATTTATACCTGTAGCAACTTTTCAGCTGTGGGTCTTTTTTTAGGATTTTTCGTAAGTGCCATTTTCACAAAATGATGGAAACTATTGGACCTGTAAAATGAGGTGCTAAACATTAAAATCAATTGCCCAGTAAAGTACATTCATTATCTACCAAAACAGAAAAGTACTTACCATTTCATTTTGTCCTTTAATTTAGGAGGTTGGAAGTTGCTTTTTGTCATTAGAAAAAGTGCTCTGAAAAAGAAAACAACAGTATTTCTGTGGTTACATTGCAATACATATATGAGATGAATTATTAAATACGTTATTTAGTTGGCAGTAAGAAGTCCCATTAGTTTAAGAGATGCTATCAGGACAACATTACTCATTTATGCACCAAAAACAGTTGCTGGAATTTCTATCCTATTCATTCAGAACACTTACAGCCCAAGACCCTTACATCACACCCTAACACCATAAACCCCCTCGTCAAATGGATTATTTAACAAGCTGTCTTTACTCCCCAAGACATAACCCCTTACTAACCTCATTGGATGCAGGTCAAACATTGGAGGCTGAAGTTCAGCAAGCTCTATAGCAGTTATTCCAACTGCCCACAGGTCACAGAGCTGGTTATAGCCACCTTTTCTTTCCACTGCAGCAACTTCTGGTGCCATCCTTAATGATAGAAGATTTTTAGGTAAACTTCTCACCATAAATCAGGCATTCCTCTGTATAGAAAAGTTTAGTACTCTCTTCCCTCTCAATCTCTAAGCTCACAGCATATACATGAGTGCACATATACAGATACACCAAAGGGCGTGTGTAAAAACGTAATGTATATCTGAAGTTTTCCTCAATCATCTTCAAGTAACTAATGGGCAGTGTCTAAAATGGTCATTTAGGAGTAAGTGGATGAAATCAATCTGTCTCAGACGTTTTCACAGGCACACAACAAAACACTACTCAACAATCAAAGAGGCTAAAGTGTAATTATTCAACTACAATAAAATCAAAATAATATCCAAATTCACACATGGCCCCAGGAAGTGATCAACTCGCTTTGAAGAGAGGAATTCTAACAGAAAAAGTAATAAAGTGTCAGTTTTCTCGTATCCTGAACGCATGAGACCTGAAGACTCGCTGTCACCTCTGTACAGAGCACTCCCAGTTTGTAAAGTCTGTCTCACTCAGGTCAGGTGACCTCATTTAAGTTAAAGTGGTTTCACATTCTGAGGTGACAAAAATCAACCAGCACATAAATAGGAATACCTAAAGGAAATGATTCACTAGGCATTGTCACACCTTTTGAACGGCCAATGTGAATTAGGAATCTGATTGTCCCACATAGTTCTATCAGGTGGCTATGTAAGCTTGTTTTACCTTTGAACTTTATCAGTCCAGATCACCTGAAAAGTAGCAGTAAATCTGGAGACATAACTCAATACATGTATGACAAATGAATGTCAACTTAGCAAATGCTCAGTAAATCAGCAAGCAGCATCTCAAATGATGTATTATTCAATTACAGGCATCCTGTGGTCACAGCACCAAGCCTGAGAGTTCAAGAAGTGTTTGGACAATGCTCTCAGACACACGGTGTGACTCCTGAGAATGCCCTGTACAGACCTAAGTTTTGGACTCAAGATCCTTGTGGGTCCCTTCCCACTCAGCATATTCTGCATTTCTGTGATCCTTATCTGTAGATCTGAAAACATCAGCAGGTATGGTGGTAGGACTTATTTCAAATAAGCCTGCATAGCTAAACTGTATTTAGATAAATTTCTTCCAGAGTTCACTAAAGATACTAATCTCTCTAAATCAAAAAGTAGTGAGTTACCAAGGTAGAGGGGGAACCTGGGTTAAACATGGCAAATAGGAGAGTTACTAGCACTAAAGACACTGCACAGCACCTTACCTGTCCTGACACCTATAATGAGCACTAAAACTTTCACTCTGCAGCTAAATTTTCTTCTCCACAACCTCAAAAATTTTGCTTCACTTGTGCTCTCTCAAATCTTTGAGAAGCTTGGCAAAGAAGAACTGATGCTTTTCATCAGCATTTAACCTATGTAATGCTTTCAAAGTTGTTATTTCAGATTGTTTGAGAAGCCTGGCACGATTTGAAAGTTACAGTCTCTCACCCAGACGTCTTGGGAAAGAGACACAAACCAAACCACACAATCATGACTTATGGGTGTTTGTGTTATTCTGAAAGGGAAGTGAAGCCATGATGCACTTTTTACATTGCAGAAAAATGCTAAAAATACTATTCTTGACTATTTCAAGCCAAAACTTGAATGTAGGGTTTTTTCATTATGTACATATTTTGTCTTGTACCTACTACGCTGTTGGACTACAGAATTTTTAATGTCTGCCTGGGAAATGCACAAAAGTGCTGTTTTACAGTGAAGAATGTGTCTCATTTGCTTCAATGTGAAAACGAACAACCACTTTCAGCGTGAAGAGGATAAAATGAAAGGCTGAACTTCAGGTAAGATAAATTACACACACTAGTTTAATGCGGGAAGAATAAAGATGCAGTACAGATAAACAGAAATGTGCCAAAGAATTCAATCAGTTTAAGCAAATAAGGGGGAAAATGGCTTAGAGGAAAAGTTCAAAAGTGGCAAAAGAATCTGCGGATCTGTGCAGACAAACAAATGAAACTCATTACCAACTGAAAAGCTGCAGAAAAGTTGTATCTAGGCTGGAGGGAAAGAACCATAAAGCAAGAAAATGGAAAATCAGGGGAAAAAAATATTTAAGATCAAAGTTTTAAAAAAAGAAACTGTGGATAGTGTTTTAAGTTTTACTAAATTAAGATAAATTAGTCAGTGATAAGGGCAGTACACAGTCTTTCAATTTTTCAGAGTATTAAAGCATTTTCTCAGCTAATTCAGGATTTGGCATAACTAACACAGAAAGTCTGACACAGCCTTTAGTGATAAGTCTACCCAGGAAGTGTCAGAGCATGCTTTTTTCAACACTATTATATATGTTACTGTTATATTAATGGCCAAGTAAAACACAGTTACCAATACGGGGTGCCAATGAATGATTTCCTTTTGGCAATTGTAGCTGTTATCTGTGCAGATACTCCAAAATCAGCTATTAAAAAAAGGCAAAAACAAAGGGACAATTAACAACTGATTTGATATCATTAATTGACAATGAACACAAGTTTGGCTTCGCCACGGTAAGAGGTTATTAAGTATACTGGAAATATTTAACCAAAAATAAATAGCAACTTGGTGTACCTCAGATAGCATCAGTCATCTCCCCTCAGTCACTTGCCAAACATGCACACAAACATGTCCCTCACCCACACAAGGAAGAACAGGCTAACACAAAAGACCTTACAGTTACATGAAGTGTTTTAACACGATAAAATACATATTTTGTGTTATTCAAGAGATTCTTTCAGATAACCTTTCAAGGTACACTTCACATTTAAGCACTCTTAAATGGGACATTTTATTAAAACCTTATAAACCCCTGTGATTTGAATTTTACCTCCCCCTTACAGTATCAGAAGTTCTTTTACATCACTGTTCCAAAACAACTCACATTAATCTTCAGATGCTGACTGGATGGTATAGTCAGATATTACCAGCAAGATAAAAAAATTCTGATATTCACTAATTCCTTACACGAAACCATCACTTCATTAAACAAAACAGAGCATACTGCTTCCTAAAGCACATAAAAGTATTAATAGCACTAATTTGTATTTACTCACCTAATTTTACATGTCCATTATCTGTCAAAAGAATGTTTGCTCCCTTTAAAAAGAAGTAAGTACACTTGAATTAAAACATGCAGGTTCCTCCAATACTGTATTAAAAAAATTTATGTGAGATCTTATGGCAAACTAGGGCCAAAGACAAAGCAAGGACTGTGTTCAGTAAGTCTGCAGTCTTACAAGGAAATGTTTGTGAAATTAGCACGTTACCATTCTGTTATATAAAAAAAATCCCTTGGATATACAAGGTTTTTCACTACTTTTCCATTTAGCCTATGGTACTACAGAGTTTTGTATTGTGCACAAAACCTCTCTCAAAAGAGACAAAACTATGATGATTTGCCTATCCTGATTAATTCTTACTTTTTTCTATTTACAGTGACTGAAAGGAAATTGGAACTCTAAAGGTCAAAGCGGAAACAATTTTATTTTCTTTTCATAAGTAAGAGCTGGTTTTGTCTTATTAGAGAATCATGCCTACTATAATTATAGCCTTAGGACCTGCCTCAATATTCAAGTGCCTGGTAATCCTTAAGTACTTTCCATCCTTATGCAACAGAGATTCTGTTTAGTGCTAGATTTAGAGAGTTCATTTTTGTGGGGTGTATGTACCGCTCACTTTGGTTCAATAACCAAAATTATCCCAAAGTGGAGGTTTGTATCATAAAATCACAAGACAGAAGGACCAAGAACAAACTGGATCTGAAGACTGAAACCAGGTACAGGTTGAGTTGAGTGAAGGCTGGAGCTGTCTAAACACAGCTCCGAATGTCAGCACTGCCCATCAACTAGATGGAAAGGCAGCAGAGACAAGCCTCCAAAAACATGTTTTTACAGATTATGGCTTTTCACAGAGAAGGAAAAGTCAGGCCTGCAGTGAAACGCAACTAACTTGGCACATGTTGCACAAGTACAGTTAATGAGCCTTATAGATGGAGCTCGGTAAACAGTGTGACAGCCCAGTTTACATGCTCTTGACCTTGCTAACCTTTCAAGACCAACAGAACAGGTACTCTAAATATGTAACTTAGCTACTGAGGGAAGCAAACACAATTCAACAGTCAGGCAATCTGCAGAGGAAGACAGTACTTTTCCATGTTCACGAGAACAGCTTTTTTTAAAAGAAAAGCTCTCCAAGCATTTGTGACCAGCACAGTTCTGCTTAGAAAAGTATCTGTGCACTGTATACTTACAAGCATAATTTTGCATTCTATACAGTATAATGGAAAATACTTAATTTTGGTGCTCAAAGTAAACTTTCATTCAGAAATTATTTTTTATGCTTGCTCAAACGCCAAATACTCTTCTGCAGCCAATGAGAACAGTGAAATCAGGTTGCATGACAGCAATCTCAGTTGAAGTTGCTATATACATTGCATTCCTCATCTGGAAAAAAACAAACCAAACCCAACAGCATGCAACAACACAAAGGAATATGATAATTTAATGTCAGATTTCCAGGAGGAAGCTTGCCAGGCTTAAGCTGCAGTCTGAGCAAGGAAGGGTTTGGAAAGACTAGGCAGTAGAACTCCTGGAACAAAAAGTCAACCGGCAGCACCAGAAGGAAACTATAAAAGAGTGTAAAAGTCTGAACAAGCTGCTTTTGATAGAGCTTTGCTGAGGTGAAGATTTAAATAAGTCAGTGCTAATAGCCTGATTTGCAGCACCTTCTCTATTTTTAGCATGCGAGGGAGGGGACAGAAGCAGCCTCCAAGAACCACACGTAACAGCAGCCACTGCCCTGCAATCTGCTCACCAAGAAAAGAAGCAAGAAGCCAAAGCAACAGCTCTGCTCACTAGATGGTTCAAAAAGAAGGGTATGCTGAGCTTCTTGGAAAAGCTATGGGAAAGAGCAAACCCTTCTTTTGCACAGATCTCACTCTTAGAGCCACCTAAACATACTGCTCTGGACACCAGCTGATGTCTAAAGTTTACAGCACTGGTCTAAACAAACAGTAAGTGAGGTTCCAATGAAAAGAACAAACTGTTTCCGTGCATGTATTTTAAAGAAAGCTTTTTCTTCCCTCCCTTGGGAAAAAACCCTACATATTCAAAAGTATATACAAAATTGATACATAACAGTAAAGACCACTGGAGGTGATGCAGCCTATTTTAAAAGCACAAAAATTCCTTTCAGTTTTTACTTACCTTTATATCTCTGTGCATTTTTCCTTTACTGTGAAGGTAATACAGTCCCTGCATAAAATATTTAGATAATAATTTAGTCAAACATTTTTCATTTTATATATATTTCTCACTTAATTACCAGATATATTTAGGATCCAATTCAATCATCTAAATGACTCACTGACTGAAGAACATTTTTATATTTCAGTCTATCCTGCTGCAAATCTGCAAATTCAAAATCTGTAGTAGCATATCTAAATAACTTTAACTATACAGATATTAGTTATTTACCTAGTATCTAACATACAGGATAGTTGGAAATAATACCAGTCACTACATCTGTTGGAAAAAGAGTATTCCCCAACCAAGCTTTCCTCTGGATATGGTAACTGTCACCTTTTCAGACCAAGCCAATTACTGTTAAATTGCCTAACAGTCTTCTCTTGAGCAGTCAGATCACAGGATAACTGGTGAAGTTCTCTCCTATCCCATTACACACTTCAATCAAGCCTGGAAACATGCCAGCAGGCAGCGCTTAGGGTTTAATACTGGAGTTCAACTCTCTCTCATGGATTTCTGCAGAAGCATTAGGCTGTCCTTCTGGGTCTCAGTGACAGTACCAAAACACTTTAAGACTCAACACAAGTTAGACACTAAGTTTAAATTCTGGAAAAATTCTATAAAACCGAATCCCTGCATAACAAATCATAGACCATGTCACTTTTGACACTCCCGGCTTATCTCTAAAATTCTCTTCCGGGGTAAATCGACACAAACATCTTCCTTGCTCTGTGACCTCCATAAGGCTCTGTGTTCACAAGAGATCTCTATATCAAGATAGAAATTTTTTTGCCAGTTCATGCAAGACACCATGGAGTTGATTGCAAAAATAAATTAGGACTTTTCAATCATTAGCTTTTTCATAGATGGTATGAGGAAACCCATGACTTGTTCCTGGAGATTTCAAGTGAACAGCATTGAACAGATAGACAAGAGTACCTCTGAAGACACAGTTTTTGGGGAAATTTTTAGCAGTTCATGAAAAGCTCTATGCAATGTAGCTGATGTGCTAATCAGTTATGAAATTCAATTCCTTAAACTAAAGAAGCAAAAAGCTCCACTCAGATGCTTTAACCTGTTTCTCTGGGGGACATGACTAGCAGTACCCAGTTGGTCCAATGGTTTTTTAGAGTTCTCACTGCAGGCATGCATGCATACCTAAAAATTGCACTTGATTTGCTTTTTGCACAAAGTGTAACTAATCCAATCATCTACCAGACCATTGCAACAACTGGCATTAGCTAGAAGAATCCTATGTACACTCCTTAAATCTCTGGAGGCTATTGGAAGCCCATCAACTCACACACTTTTTCTACTGCCTTGAAAGAATTTGAGGTCACTGTTTTCAAAACTGAATGCCTAGAAACAGCTACTTTGAAGGTCATATTTAAAAAGACCTGTATTTTCAAAACCAATCTCACTGATTCCAACCAAAATTTACAGCAAGTGTTTTCTGAAAACGTATGATTCAATGGGTTTCTAAATGCGAAGACTGCATGGTAACTTTAGGCATCCAAGTAAAACTCTGGATTCATAGAAACTGGTGGTAAAATTAATGTTGGACAAATTACTTTTATTTTATAGGAAAAGTGATGCTGTATTGTAAGCTACAACAGGATATCAGAATCTATATACAATATATTTGGTCAAAGTACTAGAAGCATGTACTTACAGGCAAATTAAAATACAAAATATTAGTCCAGAAATAACACTTTAAATAATACATACAAAATAACAAGTTTCTTTCTCACACACAACCTATACATACTAATCAAGATATCTTCCCACACAGTAAACAATTTCTTAAATTCCATTCTAGACTAGTGAAACACTCCTCCATGTGCTGAGAAGATTACAGGTTTGATTGATGGACTATCTGGTGGATAAGGAACTGGCTAGATGGTTGTATCCAGAGAGTAGTGGTCAATAGCATAATGTCCAGAAGCAGGTGAGTGACAAGTGGTGTCCCTTGGGGGTCCTCACCAGACTGTTTAATATTCTCCCCCTCTACTCTGCTCTGGTAAGACCCCACCTGGAATGTTGCATCCAGCTCTGGAGTCCTCACCATGGGAAAGACACGGACCTGTGAGAGAGTCCAGAGGAGGGCCACAAAAATGATCAGAGGTCTGGAGCACCTGTCCTGTGAGGAAAAGGCTGAAAGACTCGGGGTTGATCAGTCTGGAGAAGGTTCCAAAGAGACCTTATATGGTGGCCTTTCATTTCCTTATAAGAAAGATGGGGACAAACTTTTTAGTAGGGCCTCCGGGAATAAGACAGAGAGTAATGCTTTTGAACTAAAAACCAGTAGAATCAGAGGAAGAATTCTTTTATAATGAGGGTGGTGAACCACTGGAACAGGTTGCACAGAGAGGGGGGTAGATGCCCCATCCCTGGAAACATTTAAGGTAAGGCTGGATGGGGCTCTGAGCAACCTGATCTAGTTGAAGATGCCCCTGCTCATTGCAGAGGGGTCTTTAAAGGTCCCTTCCAAATCAAATCATTCTACAACTCTGTAAGAACAAAAGGGTTTAAAGGTTCAAAAACCCCAGATGACACATAAGCCTTCACTGTAAGGAGAAAAAAGACACATCCTGTAACTCAGCAATCTCTAGCACAGGATAGGGAGATGATAAGTGGCAACCAAGGGAGATGGCCTAGGAACAGAACTATCTTGAAAGAGTATTTGAGAGAGGCAGCGGCTCTCAGCTGATGGCATTCAACAGGTTTGCATTCACTAGAAGTCAAGAACTACTCTCTCACATGGAAGCAAGACATCCCTCAAAAAAGCACTTCCTGATTAAGTTTTACAGGTGTACTGAACCTGTAATTTAGGAAAGAAAAATCAAAGCTAGCATACCCACAGGGAGAGGCTGGTGACCTTAACTTGAACATCTCAAGTACGTAGGCAATTTTTTTCTTATTAGCACAGATTAACTATTAGATATGCAGACTGAGTGCTTAAATTTTCCTTCAAACCTACAATAACCAATTTATATTGCAAATATGGATTAAGAAAATATGCTGCTTCCCCCCTTTTTAAAACAAACATAAAAGTAACAGCAGAAGGATGACAAGACTTTTCTTCAGGCTATTTGAGGTTATGCAATTATACAGGTTTCTAGGCTATAATATGGGACCTCCTCAAAACTCTGAGAAAAATGCTATGTCATCCAATTACCCTATTTCCATAGCATCATATGTTATCTGTAACTTTCACTTTTAGCCATTAACACTTTTACATTAAAAGTTGAAAACAAGAACACGCTACCTGTAGTGTTTCTCTGCTAACATAGGCAATTTGCTGTTCTGACAGTGGTCCCGTCACTGAAATGAAAGGGAAAAAGAAAAAAACCTCAAAATTAGGTAAGATACTGCCCATTCCAAATTCATACCTCAATTACTTCCATTCACAGTGATAGGATCTTACATTGCAAATCTCTAAGTAAATGTGATTAGTTTTTAACCCAGACCAACCATCCCAAAGACCACTAAACACCTTTTAAACTCAAAAACGTCCATTCCCATTGGAATAGGAAGTACTAATTCCTTCCATATTGTCATGGTTTTGCCCAGCTGGTCAGTCCCTGGGGCTGAGGAGGGTTTTGTCCAGGTAGAATTGCTATAGATGTAGTTCTTTAGTAGATTTTATTTTGCTAGTAATAAATGTTCATACTATTTTCCCCAAATCCAGTCTCTTTTATCTGCATAAACCTTCTCTCAACTAATAGTAATTGTATGGGGAGTATGAAAGCAAATTGACCCAGAGCAAAACCACGGCACATATATAAATCTCATCATAATTAGGAGGAAAAAGAAACAGAAGCAGTGATTTAAGCACAACTCTTTCCCCTGCAGAAACCCATTGTGTGCTTCTGAAAAAGGCTGGACTTACAACTCAGTGACTCAGATCTGCAGCAAACTTTGTTCAGTTCCCTTTGAGCCCCGAGTAGTTCTTTGTACCGTTTGTGACCTGCTCTCTCCTTCCGTCCTTCCCACTGCCACACGACCTGCTCCCTCCAGCTTCTCAACCCTTTTCTGAAATGAGCTATCAGCACTGGTGTTCCTGGGCCTGCCACACCAAGCAGCTTCTCAAACTCTCCCTGGGAGCAGGTTCAGCAGTTACCCAAGGGAAGGAGGAGTCTCCCTCTCCCTCCAGGGTCCAACTTCATTCAAGCCTCTTAAAGGAAAACAAATTCTCAAGAAATACGCAAAGCAAACAGTGAACAGCAAGCAAGTAACGGTCTGTTTGCCCCTAGTCACTGGACTTTGATCCTGAAAGTAAAGGGGTTTAAGATTAGGAAACAGTCCCCACTGTAAGCTTCTCACATTCTGCAGAGAAAACAAATAGAGAAGTTGGATGGAGTTTCTCAAAGGCCTCTGCAGGAATAAGGAGTTAAGAATGAATCCGGATTAAAGAATCTTACTGCTAAGTTTCTACAAAACCATAACATTAGTATCATGCAATATATATCTTCAAAACAAGTCTAAATCCAACTTCCCTTTTCTGAATGAGAAGCTCCAAATCCACACAGAACTATATATATTGGTACCCAGAGTATGTACATCTAGGCATTTATGTTATTTTGAGAAATTAAATTCTGGTTACCTTAAATGACATAAGATTACAGAGGCCTATAGTTCATTTGGAATAAGTCTTCAGAACACAATAAAGATCAGAAAAGAACCTTCCATTCTAACTACCAGCAGAGAAGCCAGAAATCAGACGCAAGGGAAACCACTCCTGTATGACATCTGTTCAGGCATTTATGTGGCATGAGCTCATTTCCTACTCTACAGGTGTTCCACATAACAAAGCCTATTAAACACGACACTTTTCCCAAAATTAGCAAAGATGTAAAGGCTCAACAAGGCCACATTCAAATGACTATGCCATGAGCATGGTGTGAACTTGTGAAATTGTGCTTGTTTTAGTTGCACCCAAGTTACATACAAAAAGCTCTTTAAGCACAAGAGAAGATTCTCACGTTAAATCTTCACAATTCCTCTGTGAAAAACATCACCTGGGAACCACAAAGCCACTACTCCCAGCATACTCCTTTCCTATGTAAATCTTAATACCCTCAAAACTGAAAACTAGCAATCAATTTACTAAATCCCCTCACTATCAAACAGATTCACACACAGCCCTTGTTTCTTTGACCATTCTCTGCAGCCAAGCCTAAAGCAAATATACAGGCCACCTTTGCTTTTCACATGTCACAAAGCCAGCATAAAATAAACAGTAATAAAAAAAACCTTAGTGGAACTACTGCTGTACAAACATACAGATGATCACTGTTTACAAAGGACATGAGCACCCATGGTAATCAATCCACTTACCTAGGTTTCCGTAGGCAGTGGTATAGATTATACTAAAACAAACTTCAAAAGCTCAGAAACAAAATGGTTATGAAGACAGCACATGAAGACATAATTTTTTTTTTAATTTTTACAATGTAGTGTTGTCTAATTTTACAGTCTTTAAAAAGTAGTGATGGTATATGAGCTACAGAAGGACAGAAATAGCTTCCACTGCTAGAAAAAAAACCCACCATAACTGTAATTTTGTTTATGAAAACCAAGCCTAACCAATTAAGTAAAAACATAAGCTGAAACTGACCTTCAATGACTTACTATGGATACTAATTTTAGGATTCCTTCTCTTTAATTCCAAAACACTGTAATCATTTCAATTTTGGAAAATAAGATTTACTTATTTAAGGAATTAGTCTTGACATACCATGATAAATATCCTGTAGAGAGCCACCTCCACAAAACTCCATGCAAATCCATAGCTTGTCTCGTCTAAAAAGTGAATAAAACCATTCATTAGCTGTCAGATCTGAGAACAGCACCTGTAAAGGAAAAGTCAGAGGACTATAACATTGTAAAGTACAACATAACAAGCTCCGTATTACAAAAAGTACAAGTCAAATGAGTATGATTTGATCTTTATGTTATACTTCACTGTCCAAACAGTAACTAATAAAATATCCAAAAAATTCTACTTTAATGAAGTAATAAAAACAGTATTAGTGAAACATTCACACTAATTTTTTGTTGAAATACTTTTTTCTGAGTGTAGAAAGGAAACAGATGTGGATTCTTATTTCTTCCTCATTTTCACTTCTCCACTTTTTTCAGAGCATAGGACTTAACACAAAAAAGAAACAAATGCAAAGCAAAACACCCTAGGGGTATCTTTCAACTTCTTCCACAACAAATTAAGTGAAAATAGTGCTTTAGTCAGTGCAAGGCAGAGTGGAGTCCATGCCGTGGGTAAGTGCCTGCTCAGATAAAGTCTTTTCCTTCAGAAATACCTACAGGTCAGAGGGAAGTTATTTAGTTGTTCTTCCCTTACTAAGGGAATCAATTCAGTTTGAGTCACTATACCTCCAAAAAGGTGTTTTCCAAGAACAGACAATGAACTGAAGGATTCAAAGGTCTCTTCTATTGTGGCCAGCAATTCTATTTTCACTTAGTAATTTTTACTGGTAACACGTGTGGTCACAAAATGGCATTTTGGAAAGCAGAAAATCTGGGACTTGGCTAGTCATTCCTGGTCATCAAAATACTCAGAGGGGAAAAAAAAAAAATCACATAAAACCACCTTAGAGCAGTTTGTAACACAGGACAACCAAAGGAATGGCTGATGGTTGTTTTGCAGCTTCCTTAAGAATCCTGGTCTTGAGTTTCTTGCATTCATAAGGCTCTGTTAGAACAGCTGAGACATTTGTGGAAGTGTTTTGCAAAGCAATGATGTAAAGTGCTGAGCTTATCTCCTGCAAATTTCAAAAATTTCTCACCAGCAGGTAACAGCTAGAATAGCTGCTGTTCCAAGGAAGAACTGTCTGTCTTGGATGTCCTCCCCTTTCACATCCACAGTCTACATAGCCCTCGAAGCTACACCCCATCTGCTTCCTCTAGGAGTGAGAAAGGTACTGTTCAAACATTACAGAAGTTTTAAGCTACAGAATTCCCTTGGCTGTTAACTCCATACATTTCTAGGGATTAATTAAAGCATTGCTTGAAATCATATTAAGTCTTTCCACTGAAATAACTGATGAAAGTGAGACACACAAGCGATGTGACTACCTGTGAAAGAAAACAGAATTAGCGGGGAACATGAGCGAGGAAGAAGTACTGAAGAGACAGACACCTCCAAGTCCCCCATTTGTTTCCCACAATGATGCAGGACTCAAACAGGGATCCTTTTGGGGGCACTGAGTTCATGAAAGCCACTCTTTCCCGTGTGGCTGCATCCTGTTTGATGCCAACAGCAGCAGTAGTGTGGAAGTGGGAAGAAGCCAGAACAATCTCAGCAGCCTTGGGACAGCAGCAGAGCACCCACAAAGTAAGAGACATGAAGCAGATAAGTGCAGTAAATTCACACTTTTGCTTACTGGGCATTAACTTCCCAGTGTGCAAAAGCCCTACAGAAAAGAAAAAAAAAGAACATAAGAGGATCAGAAGAGACGACTTCATCTCTAATTCACTATCTAACCTTTTATTACTGTGCCTAAGCACTCTGGAACAGGTGAAGATCCATGTAACATCCAACACTAACACTGTACACAGCTGTCTGTTTCTGCAGAGCACATGGCAAGAGCAGCAAACAAAACAGACAGGACCAACAGTACTGCTTAGTGTCTGCAACTTAACACCCAGGCTAACAGGAACACAGAAACCCGACTGCCTGAAAAATCCTGCCATAAACAGAAGAAATCCAAGGGGAACGATATGCTGGCAAGCGGCAAGTAAAGGATGATGGTACTTTTCTATCGTTCTTAGCATTGAAATGCGCTTGGAAAACAAAAGGTCAGACACAAAAAGGTCTCTAAGACAGTGATGAAATTGCCCAGACAAAAGAGAAGCACTCTACCAATGTAAGAGGAGGGAACCAAGCAGGAGAATAAGAGAGTGACAAAACACACAGTGTATTTACCAAAATTTAATTCTGGGTCTACAAATGTGTATTTTGGTACTCTAAGACAAGAGGGAAACTTTTTTTTTTTTTTTTTTTTTTAACGAAAAAACACCCTCACCCCAAATACAGCACCAGGAGAAGAGGCACCATTTCGATACAAAAATTGTAAAGAAAATTGAAAGCAATAATAACATTTTTTCACAATCTATTTTCACATGACATTTTAGAAAACCATCAGAAACAGCTTTTCATTAGTTATACTAAGCAATCCATTCCTATTGTAACTAGTTAAAAGAAGCAGTTGCAAGAGAACTAGATATATTTGTCAATGTTTCTACAATGCAAATAATTTCACCTCCAGAAACAAACATAAATGAACCATCACATTCTGGTCAGAAGTTCATGTGTTAGACAAACAAGACATTCTACTGAAAAAGATACTATATACACAGATTGTTCATACTTGTCATACCTCTCATTTTGCACTTACATGTTATAGATGTCAACTCATTTGCAAGAAAACATGACTATGTGTTCACTGAATGATTTTGCTGAGAGAAAAATTATTTATAGACACTGTAATAAACAGATTTTAAGGTAAATGAAAAAATATAAAATTGGATAATACTTATTCGGTAAATTGTGTTTTGCCTAAGTCACCTTTTAGACCTGTCCTTTACAAGGAGAGAGGCACACATTTTTAAGTGAGCAAAAGAAACAAACTGTACCTGAGATAGCTGCCAAAATAAGCAACAATGTTCGGATGTTTACAGTCTTTCATCATAATGATTTCCTGCTGCACAACAGCAAAATCCTCTCCTGAAAAGCAGAAGGACGAGTATTTTCATTGGCCTGGGTTATACTCACATCTTAACTCAATTTTCAGCACATGTTTATAAAACAAACATTCTGAGTAATTAAGACCAATTATCCGCAAGTTTCACAGATCTATAAATTAGCTGTAAATCAGTATTTACTAGCAAGGGCTTAGCAATAAGTAACTATATTCTCCTGGGACAGATGGACCTCATGCCTGCTGACACCTGTTATAATATCGGCCACAGCTCTTTCTAAAGTCCTTATTCTCCCTGAGAGCCCTCTGTGTGCATCTGCATATGCCCTGCCAATAGCCCACGTTCTTAAAAACACAACAAGACTTTGCTATTTTTGGCCACATGCCCAATACGCATTAGCTCATCTTCCTGAGCAAAAAACCCCAGTCCCTAGTAGGTTGCTGCTGCTGCAACTTTTCAGCAGACTCAGCAAGAATGTAAATTTATGGCCTGTGTGTAACTTAAACTTAACATCCAGATAAAACACTGACACAGGTGTGGCATTTACCTGAGTCTCACTGTTCGGTACCATGGGTGTCCTGGTCTTTCTGTAAAAAGTTCTTACTGGATATGTACACTGAGAAAATCATGAATGAAACTGAAAACACAACTGAGATGTTTTTATTTTGGTAGCGTTATTTCGTATGTAAGTTAAAGAAGGCAAAAAACCCCATAAAAAGTAAGAGAATGATGGTAACAGAATATTTGAAAGCCTTCTTAACTTGTTATTTTTTTAAAATAAATACACCTCATGTGTTCTTTATTGTTCAGTCTCTTACACTGAGATTCCTCTGAAATTTCTTTAGCAATAAGGGCAAACTGGAGCTAGTCTGGTATGTTATTTTGAAATAAGTTCTTCCGAAGTTTCTTTAGTTAGACATATATAGCACACAAATACCAATTCATTTTTACAAGCCTCAAGGCCTTTATTGGTGAAACCAGCCTGAAGGCCTAAAACAACCATTTAGCTCCATGAACTTAAGACACTTAAGTTGAAAAAATAGGAACATTCAAAGTCTGTCACAATTCTCTTTTTAGCACTCTGCTGTAGTGCTCCTGAGCGTAACAAACTGGAAACCAAAGTGATTCTCTAAAAACCTGAATACAGACACTAAGCTCCCATGTATTGTCACAGTCCAAAAATCAATTCTCAAATACGACTTAATAAATTTCAAAAGAAAAACAATAAAGTCCAACAGAACTGGCCAAGCTTTACCTAAGAAAATATGTTTTAAAGCTTCTCCCAGTAAATAAACATAATGACGACCAATCAACTGGGCTATTTATAACCAGAAAGGTGATGTTCCTTTGTATTTTATTTAACTGATAGCAAATTTCAAATCACAAGCTGAAAGGTAACATCTATCTGTGTGTATTGCTGATGACTTGCTGTATCCTGGCTAGACTTTTAAACACACAGACACTACAGAACACAGAAATTATTTTCCCGTACAGACAGGTATCCCTGTGAAAGGACACGATTCCCCCAGTATTTGACCAGTGTTTTCAATGCATTCAAAATGAAACTAGCATAAAGCCTTCACACTCTCTCCCAGTCTGCAAAACTTCCAAAAGAAGCCAGTGTCACAGTCCTAGAATGCGGCCACTGCCTGTCTGAATTCTCACTCAAGCCTCCATCACAATCGAAAGTGACAACTACAGAGAGAAACCGAGCTTAGTGAGCAAACCGAGGGCAGCTAAAGCACATTCTCTGCACACCACCCGGGTGTCTAAAGGCTGCCAAAAATATTTAACTGCAAGGTGCCAATTGTTCACCTCTCACCACAGCATGAGGGCAAATTACCCCTGCTGCAGCACATCCTGGGCTCTGCCCACAGCATGATTCTTGTGCTTGGCTTAGCTGGACTGATAACCCATGCCATGCAAAGCCAAGGACTCCAACAACTGGGAACTGACATAAAATAAAAACCAAAGAAAAAGAACTAGACAAGAGCATCTGAGAGCACACTTTCAGTTTGAGTAAAAGAAGTGTGATGAATATACACTTTTTGAACCACCTAGTAACAAACATACTGTCCGTATTGAATTTTTAAATGTGCAAGCACTGCGAAAATAACATTTCTAATCAATTCCAGAATTTTAAGAAAAAGGAAAAAACCTGTACCTTCTTTCCCTTCTTGCCTACATACACCTTAAGGATCAAAATAGGTAATTAAAATATCACACAGACATACAATATTAAATCTGGAAATGGAACACCAAAAGTTAGAAGCTGAACAAAAAGTCTGGATTACTGTCCTCCTGTTCAGCTAGCCTGTTATTAATAGAACAGCACTTCCAGGCTGAGACTGATCGGCAGGGCACATGTACTTTGTGAAATCACAACAGAGGCAGAGTTCAAATATAAATCCAGCAGACAGTGAAGTCTTAATCATAGTCTGCCTCCAAATTTCAGGAAATGTACTCAACTCCCAGATACTAATGTTCAGCTATTATTTCACCCTTCTTTTTATTTTTCTTCCTCTACTCTTTTTCCTGGCGAGTCCTTTTCTGCCTTGCTGTCTTCCTCATTTCTTTTGTTCTAGAGGTTTTTGTATCACAGGGATTAAAAACTTATTACTTAAGACAAAAACCCTACAACTCTCACTGAAATTTCAATCAGCTCTCATTTCACTGTTCTTCAATTACATTTTTCCCCTCACATCCTGCTTGGCACGATTGCTATTTTTTTAGAACAATGTATTCCTACAGCAAAAGGCAACAACTACCCCTTCTTTCAGTAAGTGGACTAGATTGATTTTGTATGATTGTTATCTTAAGCACAAAAATATTTAGATTTTGTGGTGTATTTCAATTAAGAAACACTTACCTGGTTCTAGTTTTATTACTTTAATTGCTGCTAGCTCCCCCGTGTTGACATTTCGAGCCTATAAAAACAAAAAAAAAGGGAATATTTAGAGAGTAGAACACAGTAACCAGCTCTGCACTCTCAACTTGATGTTCTCTGACAACATGTAGTCAAAGAGCAGCTGACAAACACAAGGGTTGAACAAAGAAACCACTTGTTGGGGAACACTAGACAATTAATTTGTACTGAGAGCTGAAGCTTTAGTCTGCTCAGGAAGTTACAATGCCACACAACACTCCTAAATTATGCAAGTCCTTGACCATGCTGTGCTTCTGTATTAAAATCCATAAACAAACCAGCCACTGAGAGACTGACTGGAAAGCAGGTCTGACACTCACGGGTCTCACAGAAGACAATTGAGGCCCAGGGTACATCAAGGGCTGTGCCCTGCAGTGTGTGACCTCTTCCAAGACTCCCAGGAGAGCAGTGAAACACTTCCTGAGGATTTCACTACATGCCACTCGGTCCTTACTGTCTGCCAGCAACAGTATCTTCCCCTTGCTGCAGGGGTGCAAAAAGGCAAGCCAGCAACTAAGGAGTTAGGAAGCATTCCCCTCAAAACATTCCCTGGATACAAAGCAGCTCTGAGGCCAACTGCAGCAGCAATGACTCAGGAGCTTCACTGCATTTTGTACAGGGCTCTGTCTTGCTAAGGCCTCCCTTCTACTGAGCAACCAAGGAAGTTATATTTTTAAAAAGCCATTAAGAAGCAACATAAATTATTATAATTATGATTTCTCTTCTACAGCTGTTGCACTTGGCTTCTAATCGAAAACCGAAAGGGCATTTACCCCGTGCTTTCAGATATTCCTGTGCCACTGCACCCAGCCACGAGGAGCAGGCAGCAAAGCTGCTTCCCAGCACTCAAGCGGCAGCTCCTGAGGGATGCACAGTTAGAGCTTCTTCTCTCACCAAGGGAGGTTTGTTACCCGGAGCTGCACTGGGCTGGACCATGATTGCAGGGAATGCCATGCCCCCTCTGCCCTTACACAGGAACACCAGGCCTGCTTTTCCAAAGGCCAGAATTACAGAACTTACAGGTGTAGCTTTTGAGCTGCAAATGGTCTCATTTAAGTCATTTAAGGAACTCGAGAACTCACACCCTTTATTGACCGGCCATGAGACTCGCCATGTACCTGTAAGGTACTGATTCTTTACATGGCGGCTTGAGACATTGTTGTGAAACCACAAGTAGAGAGAAAAATACCCCTAAGACTATAAAAAGTAACCAAATAAATGCAGTGAGTATTCCTGTATTTAAAGATCTACCCAACTCATTCCTAGCACAGCTGATCTCAAACCTCTCAATTTTCTTTGCTGCGGCAATGCTTTGCTGCAATACTGGGAAGTACCAGCATTTGCAAATAATTTGCAGGCTGAGGGTCAGTGATAGATTCTGAGATCAGTGAAAATACTGCAAAAGTCAAAAAGTAGTCCCAACCTGACTGACTGTGGAAAAAACAGTTAAAAAATAAATTTTGTCTGGCAGTCTTCCCTGTAAGTCGTTATTTGCCCACCCCACCGATGGCAGCAATGTCTCCATTTATCAGTGGTGGAAAAAAGACATTAAGAAAAGGAGTTCCTTTTATCTGTACCGGAAAATCAAGACAACATATGAGGAAGTGGCACCACTAAAGCATGAGCTAGAATTTTTACTCCTCATTTCTTTTCAGAACACATAGCATGAAACAAACGCACAGGCAAAATGTTCATGA